TATTGCGAGCTTTTAGCCATGTTATAATGTTGTTACCTCCTCAAAACATACCTGGAGTTGTGTTTTGTTTCATTCGCACATGTTTGAGTAACCCTTTATTATTAGTCTGTCTAAATCACCAAAGCTCAAAATTCTCTCTTCCACATTGTGATGTCATGTAGTGGTAGTTTTCATGTTTACAGCTCCCTTTTACTTTAAGTTAGATTGTCAAATCCAGGGAAGAAGGGATCCTTATGATTCTAGTGAAGGTGTATAGAGTTTAAAAACACAGTGGAGCACTTCCTGTATAACCACATGACATCACAAGGTGGAGAGTTTTTAGTTTGCAAGAAGAATTTTTTGATGAGGAAACAACATTAAAACATAGATCAGAAAATAGTGTAATATGAACCCTTTAAAGATATGCAGTGGGATAACTTTGTATTTTTATTATTCAGCAAAGGTGGCTTACTTCGGAGGGACACGGTCATCTGGACAAAGCAAGTGGCCAGGCTCTTCTGTGTGGTTGCTGTATCTGCCATCTTTACCGCTCCTCTCTCATCACCTCCTGTCTGGATTTCTGTAGCTGCTGCTAATGTTTTTCTGTCACTTCTACTAACTGGGGAAGTACATGAACTGAGAAAAAACTGAAACTACTTCTTCATCCATTACACCTTCTTTCTGGATACCTTATATGTGCATCTCTCATGTCATCTGGACTGAGCTGTACCAAAAAGGAGTGCCCGCTGGAAGCTACAGGGTGTGGACTCTGCCATGGCTGCTGTTCTTAAGTGGTCAGCTGGTCTTTTGGAGCAAGCGTCTGAGAGGAGCATGAACTAGAGCCCCAGAGACATGCACTGACTCAAGAGAGGCCTGTCTTCACCTTTCCACACATCCTCACTACGTTAGTCTGGTACGAGCTCTGCACTGCGAGCCTGAGGAACACGGTGCTTTTAGTGTGATTCTGTGAATGTGTGTACATACAGTGTCCCGCATCAAAACTACACTTGCACAAACAGAGGCAGGACTGTCACTATTGAAAAAAATGTGATTAATAAAGGGATAGGGCAGAATTTTATTTATTTTTTTTTTTATTTATTTGCTGTTGGTGAAATATCATTATTACTGTTGTTAATCATCAAACATAAAGCAATTGTTAATGGTAGTAATAATACAACAGGCCAACACAACACAAATTTAAGGATATATTAAGGCAGTGAACCAGCTTATCCAATTCGGAATACTTTGGCTTTTGGTATTTGTTCATACCTGATATTAATCAATACTACGTAGGAACTGAAAAAAACATCAAACCACAAATAAAAAGATTAAACATAACCAACATAATGATATTGATTATTGGTGTCGATGCATCGCTAGGAGTATTTTAAGAATATAAAGTATTGCTATATTTTTAAAATAAATATTTACCTTAATTGAAAAGGAGCACAATTGTGAGAAAATATGACACAAATTTGTATTGTTTTTGGTAAAGCACAATGGCACAATGAAAGTGAAAGCATTTAAAGAGATTAAATTGTTAATTATAATGTTAAGGTTGGACACTACATGGTTCTAAACCATATTGTTCTGCATAAGCTATGAATGCAGTTTTAATAGAGGTGAGAAGTTAACTGTCCTAATCCATGAAGTCTTTATTTATACTATTTCAATATGAGAAAAATAAATATTTTAGACAAAAAAACTCACACATTCCGTGCAATACATAGACATTGTTTTCAGTCTCCCCTTGATGACGGTCCCTGCGAGCTCACAACGGGCGCTAAGCACAAATCCCACCTGTAAATAGAGACCATTTCATCTGAGATTCAGAAATGATTCATGTCTGAGGACTTTCAGTAAAAAAACTGTCTCAGTGCATGAAACAAAACAAACATGGGTGGATGTATTCATTTTTACACTTAAGATCTTTGGAATTGTATTCACGGTGTTGATATGCCTTCTGAGTAAGCCAAAGAATCAGTTCTCTTGGGTACAACTGGCTTAAATTCACAAAGTAGATTCATGTTTTCATCTGTCAACATTTATATTGAGGTATTTTGCACAATTTGAATACTGATCCAGTATGTCTGTGGTCTGTGGTAAAATCAATTGCATGAACAATAACAACTTTGAAATGAACTGCTCGCTGATGGTGTACCTGACACTTAATCATGCTCAAAAGTATTTACTGAAGCAATTATTCATTATTTGATGACTTTTATGGAAAAAAGGAACAAAAGCACACACTGCAGTGTGACTATTCACACTGCCCTCTGCCTGTAATGAAAAGTAAAACAAGATCATTTAAGATCTGATCTTGGTACTTTTACAGTCGGTCTATTGAGGCCCAGAATAATTTCAATTGTTTACACCATTTACTTTCACATACTTGTTGTGCATATTGAATTTACATTCAATATACATTGTATTTTACCCTGTTGTCCACTTGAATCAAGGACTGTACAATGCACAGCGCAAATATGCATTTACTTTGTAAGCAGAAACAGTGGAACTTAAAGAGTGGAGTAGTGTTTGACAAAATAAAAGAAAACAATGTTGTGATGGATTACTCTTCTCAACCACTTCAGACATTCCTACAATTAAGCTGTATATTTGTGGAATGAATTAGAAACAGAACGTTACACAAACTGGAACCATGGAACATGACTAACTACAAAAACACAAGTAGAAGTAATAATTACAGGGATGTACAGTGACAGCAAACGGGCACAGTGTCATTGAAAACACAATGGTCAGCATGAAAGGAGTGTGATCTCAGACCAGAGCATGAAGTGTCCCTCGGTACACTGTACATGACAGAAGATCAGTTATGGAGCTATGAAAATATTTGCACAGTATGGAAATGATCAGTGGTGTAACAAGTGAGGACAACGGAAGAGGGACTCAAGAACTGCCATTTCAGATGAGAAGAAAAATATGTTTTTATTACAAAGCATTTATGCAGAACACATCAAGTAACAAACATAACAGATGGGGTGTCAATCAGCCTATGGTTGAATTAAGCACATGCCCATGCCAAAACTCACAGGGCTTTGGAGGACAAATGTTTATAAAAGTTTCCATGACTACTGGGTACAATGGCTACAGTGACTCAGTGTTCACTCTTGTGGATGGGGCATTATCTTATGTATTGGTTTGAATCTTTAGTAAATTTGGTGCTGTGGTACTATACTGTACTACATGAAAATCAGATACATTTACCAAAGACCAAGGTGGTCAGGGTCTAGGAAACATCAGCAGTTTTAGGTTCTTTATGTATGCACCAAATCTGTATGTCACAAAATGTTACATATGTGCAAAAAGATTAAAAAAATGTTGACATGAAAAATCAATAGGTATTTTAAGTTAAAGCCACACTCATGTAACTGTGAACTCACATAACATTATGCACCCATTCTTACTACACAATGACACTCACACACAGCTGTACGCTACTTCCACACAAGTAGAAATATGGCATAGAGACAAAATGAAAAGAGATATTCAAATATAACATTACTTACGCCAAAGACAAATTAGCAATTTGTAGTTTATTGGCTCCCGAGTGCAAGTACACTCTTACATTTTATAAATCTAGCCGTTCTTAATTGGACATTGCTAGCTGCTACATCACTATTCACAGTCAGTATTTGGCACACTCTCCCCTGAGTATCCCTGGTGTCTCTTCTCTGCATACATTATCTATAAAAGTTTGGACAAACAGAAAGTATGACACAGCCAAAGGATTAAAGACAGGAGCTTCTCTGCCACTATATCTGCTGGTTATAGGAAATATATAAATGTGTTAGTGTTAAAAAGTGACATTTTAATATAAATACCATTTGAGAAGACAGGAATAGCTCTATAATATTAACAAATATAACAATATTACAGTTCATTATATAAAGCAGTCAATCAGCCCCAGGCTGGGTATCTGCACAAGGATGAAACATGAAGGCATCTGTAGGAGGAGACACAGGCACAAGCACAACAGGCCTAGCAGCCACTGAACAACAACAATAAAAATCATTTTAGTTTCTAAACAAAGAGTTGAGCCAACACCGGCCTAATGATGTCCCCACAGAGGAGGTTACCTGGGCCTGATACAGCTGTGCTGAGGCAACTTGTGTTGCTTTAGAACAGCATCAGTGGAGGCAGAGACTGGCAGAAGAAACTGGGGTGACTCATGTGTTTAAGTTATTGTTGTTAAATAAAAACAAAGGGGTTTATTTAAAGCTCATTCTCAGTCACTGGCACTAGAGGGTGCCCCAGCTATATCACACTACTGGAAAATGACACAATAAAATGCTTTTCATGTCTGGTTGGCGTGTGTAGTTTGCCTTAAGTTCATCTGCATGTAAGTACAGGGCAGTGTTCTTAAAAGCACTGCCGTTTCCTTGCCATTGATGTTGTGTCATTCATTTGTCCACTTGTGTAAGCCAGCAAGCATAAAGCAGAGGAATGTGTACGTGCACACTGAGCCTGCAGCTGTGATGCGGATCACTGGCATCTTATTGCTGGGAATGAAAAGGATAAATAAGCCAAGGTGCTCTGTGGTGGCTGTTTGATACTGAAGCCAAGAGCATGTGAACAGAGCATAGAACCACCACATCCAACAGAAGGACCAATTTGCCAGCATTCAGAGCAGCCTGACCCCAGCCACCTCACATGAATGCAGTCATTCTGTGGGAGCAGGGAGCACTGGCTATCCCAGGAGGCAGCTGCTTTTCCTCCCGGGAGACCCAAAAGCTGCTGCAAAGACTTTGGACAGCGACCCCAGTTAAACAATGCAACTCTGCCCTAATCAGGACTGCTGAGTCAGCCCAAACCAGTGCTGAATCATGAAACAATGTAATAGAAGACTGAAATCACTTTACACATGGATCCAATGACAGCTGTAGCTGCAGTGGCTGCTGTGCTTGTGCCTCTCAGACCTCGATTCACAGAAGATGTAGGAGCTTTGCTCTCAGAACCTGGTGCTCTCATGTTTGAGCATGCGGATGCTGGTGAGTGTCCCACTGCCCCTGTGCTGATACCCGTATGCCTGGCGCTGCCCCTCCAGTCACCGAGCGGTACTGCAGGCTGAGGACATGCTGCTGCTGCTGCTGGGGCTGGAGCTGCTGCAGCCGTGGTCCTCATACACACTGATCTCCAGCTGAGGGCACAAGTCAAGGAGCGAGCACTACCATGAAGACATGAGGCATTACGGAGGCTCCTGCACTGAGCCATAGCAGGCCAATGCAATGTGATGGTCTACTGGACACAATTTTGGTCTCCTCTCTGTCCTAGGGCGGAGCAAGCTATTTAAAATGCCTTAACATAGATTGACTTAAAGTGTAGCAATAAAGGACAAAGTATTGCAAGAAACAGCTGAAAAAAGGTTAACTGTAAGGCTAACTGAGATTTTCAGCACTGTTATACTTCAAGTTAACTTCAGGCCTGACTTGGAACTGAACCTCCAATCGACACAAACTACTTAAACAATGATTTTTCTGTACTCAAAAATGTCAGAATCATCTTGTTGCCACAGCTTCAACCCCAAGACTCCCTTAAGAATTAAATGGACACCATTGCACCATGTTACATTTCAGAATGTTTAACCCCATACGAGCCCTCCTGTGGCCTTAGATCCTCAGGCAGGTCCCTGTGGCTGTTCCAAAGTCCAGGCTCTGGATGAAGGGTGATCAAGTCTTTTCAGTCTGGGCACCTTGGCTTTCAAATGACCTGCCTGAGGAGATAAGGTTCGCACCATCAGTATCATCTTTTATATCACTTTTTAAGATTCATTTTTGTCGGTTGGCCTTCCTTTCACTGGCTTTAGTATGATTTTATTCCTTATTATTCTATTTCTTTTTATTTATTATAATTTATTGGATTGTTTGCATCATTGTCTGTTTTTGTATGCTTTCTGCATGCTATTTTTATGCTTTTTGTATTGTTCATTGCTGCTTGTACAGCACTTTGTAAATCTTGTTTTTAAAAGTGCTTTATAATAATGATTATTATAATGATTTATTATTATATTATTATTACATGTTACAATAGCAGTGGGTGAGTGAAGGATACAACGCGCATTCCTCTCTCTATGGGGTCTGTGAGGAGCAGGCCTCTCGGAGCATAGATCTTCTCATTCTGCTCCTGGATGTAGCCTGATATCTTCTTCAGCACCTGGCACAGGGCAGGAGGCAGACAGGGCTTAGACAGTCAGAGGAGCAGTTACACTTAATCCACATTTGATTAGAATCACAGAGATTTGATCAAAATCTAAATTCACTCAATATGAAGCCAAACATTACATAATATGTACAAGACATTCCTGATGCTTATACATATAAGATTCTCTGTTTGAGTTGTCCATGGATTACACAAAGACAGCATCACTACTGTATATAATAGAACACTGGATTATCAACAAAAACTTAGACAAACTTTATTGATCCACAAGGGAAATTATTTGAACACAGTACCACACACACATCTTGGCATATCTAATACATCTAATAACAAAGGGCAACAATATAAATGGTAATAATAAATTCACGGAGACTGGTATAAAATAATAAATAAAACATAATTTAACAAAATATTGAAGCAAATTTATTTAGACTGGGTAGACCGTATATTCAAACTTGTTGTATGTAGAATTGGTAGGAAGTCAAAAAGCATACCTGTAGTGCATTAGTACATGACCAGTTCATATCAGGCCAATAGCTGATGAGTGAAATTCAGCCATGCTAGAAGAACAACTGTTATCTATGTAGCTTCATTAGCAGAGTTTATTCAGCGGATGTGCCATGCCTCTCCTGAAACCTGTCTCACCACGCCAATCTGCAGGACATGCCTCACTTAGACTTATGGCCATTGACAAGGCACTCAGAAAGCATTCATATTAGGATGAAAACAGATATGGTTTTTCATGGCCAGTGCTGATGCAGTTGTATTGAGTCCAGAGCAGCCCAAGATCAATTTTTGTTAATTTTGGCTGCATAGATGGAAATTAAATATGACATAACTAAAACTCAGCAACTGTAAATACATTGCACTGTTCTACATAAGAAAGGTGTTAAAAGTAAACGTCATATCCATAGCCATTTTACTTTAAACAAATTTTACATTCCCCTGCCCTGTTTCCCTGCAGAAGTATGAGAGGGAAGTATTTTGTAAAGTGCTCTCTCTTTTATGGACTGAAGCTAATGATGCACAAAAGTTAAAAGCTTAATTTATGTCATTTAGTCTGGTGGTCAAATATTGGCCTGATATATACTGGGCCACTACTACACAGTGCCAATATATCATAAGTAAAAACTGAAGAAGGAGGTGCTTTATTGTGCTACAGGTTTCCATTATTAGAAAAGGTTCTTCATGTTTAAAAGTACACTGCATCACATTCCTAGTGAGTGTTTCTGCATGTTGCTTTGTTTAGGATATTATACAGTATAGATTAAACCTATATATAAACCTATAAAGAGATACACCATTGGGCTACATTACAATTCAGATCTGTGGAGAGTCGCCCCTATTGACAGAAGGAATCATTGTATTTTTGGGCAATAGAAACACTCGTAATAAATAAATGTTAGATGGATATGTTTAACGTCATGCTATGGAACATTCCTGGTAAGCAATAACATCTCCACAGAGACAAGCAGGTCCACCAGAAAAGTTACACTATAGGACAACGTAAAGCTGTAACAGTGTGTTAAAAATAAATATCCTAATACTATGGCAGTGAAAGTAATGATATTTTACAAATTTTACTAATCTACTGCTCACTCACTAATAAATGATAATAAGAGTTCAATAATGATCCAAATTAAATGGTTATTACTTTAATTTAGGAAGTGTTCCTGACAAAACCATTTTTATCATTATCATTATAAAACCTGACCTAACAGATTAAATTTCTTGAGATGATAAGTCTGAGCTAGAAAGTGAACTGAATGCCAAAAGCAATCACGATCCTTTGACAGACCCTGACTGTAAGCAGTGTGTGGCCTCTTTATCAGTTGGACATGTGCGGACCACTTGGGTGGTTGTTTTAGATCACTATCAGTCAGAATGCCCTCAGATGGTAAACAATATGTATCTGAATGCGTGTAAATGGAGCAGGACCCAGATGAAAGCTGTTGAGAGAAGCACAGTTCTGCATGGCTTCAACACTGTTTTACACTGCACCTTTGGACTACTTCATCTCCCCGCTCTGCCAAGGAAATGTTTACAAAATACAGGACGAGACAGAGATGGCGGTGATTGGAGACAGAGATGAGAACAGTCAGTCAGAGAACGCAGTGTTATAAAATCTTTTTGTTGGGTGGTTTGGTAAATTCATTTTGAGTAAGAAATTAGTTTTTTTTTATGTACTGTCTTTATCACAAATTCAAAAAATAACAAGTAAAAGGGTAACACATTATAATAACTGCACCTTAGTTATCTTTAATGAAACATGAAGAAATTTCATAATGAGCAAATAACAATTAATGACTCAGGTTTAGTAACTACTTGAATAATACCTAACCTAACTCATAACTTCTCATTTAAGTAGTGACTATAGTAAGCCTGAGTCATCATTGTAAATAGTTTACTTTTACTATTATATGCTCTCAAGAAAAGTAAAAAGAAAAGTTAAATCTACCCAGATTAAATACCAAGATATGGGTAAAGAAAAGGTTAATATAGTAATTACTTTGTCAGACCTAGAGAGATATTAACAACCTATTATAAATCATATTGTAAATTTAGTAAACTTAATGTACATAGTACCTAGTTGTTATAGTTTTGCATTGCTTCAGGCATTCGTGTGCATTTCTACACTGGTGTCTCCAGTCTCTAATGAAGGCTAACAAGTGGCCACAGTCCTCACAGGCCAATGAAGTTGACCTCCATTAGCGACAGAGCTTTTATGTGTAAGAATGCATGCACTCTTTCTCTGTGCTGCTCCTGTTTCCTCACACTGTCCAAATACATTTAGGAAATCCAATAGTGTTGTACTGATGAAGTGGCCCGGTCTAAACTACAGATATCAAAGGTTGTTCCTGTGTAATTTAACGTTTAATGCACTAGCTATGGCCTGGAAGCAGCTTTTGTAACCCTCACTGAGATAAACAGGCCGGTCTGCTGATGAGGAGCTGTTATTTTTGTACTTGATGCAAAAGGTTTACAGAAAACAGAAAAGAGTTTTCCTCTGAGGCTCCTTAAAGAAAGATATTTCATCATTATGCAAGCAAAGCTGTCCTGGGAGACCATGTCCTATTTAAATTACGCTTTTAGGCTACAAATGATTTGTAACAAACACAGATCAGATATGAATAGTCATAACAATTTATGCTCCAATCAATTACAAAAGTGTATTTTAAGTTTATAAGTTTTCGCAGTACATCAATAACTGTTACAAACACCAATTATGACTCAGTTGTGAATAATTTTCTTCAAGTGCCCATTACCTATAAGACTTTGCAAACCAGCTATTTGAAAAGCTAAAAATGAATATATTATGAACATGCTGTGTCTTTAGTGTGCCAAACAATTGATAAAGTACCTTTTCATATCTCGTTTCCATGCACAGAAAGACAAAATACGCTGTAGCACAGGCCAGGCATCCTTCCATGTACGACTGGCCTCCGATTTTTTCAGCTTCAACGTAATAAGAGTTCAAGGTCTTCACGGTCTCCTCCAGCAAACTCCGCTCGATCTACTTACAAACACAAATGAAGAGACATACAACCATGAGAAATGATGCAAGGGGCAGCAGTGGCTCAGTGGTTAGGATATATGCCCATCAACCAAATGGCGGCGTTTGGCAGCCTTGCGTCGTCGATCTTTAGGGCAACTGTGTGATGTGAATAACAAATAAATAGCAGCATGAATAAATAATGCATTACTATGTGCTTTGAGTATCTTGAAGGTGCTGTATGAATCCATTCATGTTCAAAACCATAGATTATTTTGCAAAAACGTATTTACATTTTATTTGTACATCTTCTCCACCTGGCTTTTGCCCCAACACTTTAAGAATTTGCTTGCCTGGCAAATCCAGGCTGATACCTTTGTACTTTTATACAGATTGATATCACTCTGGACACCACACCCTCTGTTGCATCTCAAGAACGACCAAACATGATCACGTGATCAGATTTGTTTGTTTTTTCTTTTTTCAGTGATGCATGTGAAACGAAGGAACTCGTTGGTCACCTATCATTTTCAAATTAAATCAGATTTTTTTTTTTACAGAACATTCACTGATTCTGCAGAAATATACAATGTTTTTCAGATAATTATGATATTTTCTTTTTTTTTTTTTTCCCAATACAGACAGCGTATGTGTGTCCCTTCTGGCTCATCCACCTGTCAATCACTCCCACCTAAAAACGGGAAGGTTCAGCAGTGACCAGACTCACATCTTTATTATGTATTGAAGAAGTGTGTTTTCTGATTACATTTTACACTGTCTCAAACACTTCTGGCATACTTTTTATAATGTGTATTTAAAACCATCACATTAGCTTTTACAGATCTCCCAATTGATTAATGTGCAACTGTCATTTGTAACAGACAAAAAATAATTTAAATGATGACCACTGCTGTGAAAGAGCTCCCTGTGAGTTTTAAACCTGCATGCCTCCGGACTGACTCAGACACATATAGTCTCCTGAAAATCCCCCTCACCATCACTCACTAATGCTAATATAACAAACTAAATGGGGCATATCACATATTCTTTAGCTGTGGCCAAAGTAAATGTGAAGTGTGAACGCAAAAGCATTTTTCTGTCCAGATTCATTTTTCGTCTCACTCACTGAACAAAGCTTTAGTTTAGCCATTTAGTTTTCTAGTCCCCCCCCCCGATAATAACATATCTAATGACTTTATGGATGCCAAGTATAAAATATAAAGTCATATTGGTCATTGAAGTGTCTCATATAGAGTCATCTGTTGGGTATGTGGTTTGGTACATGGTTGTGACCACAGACTCACCCGGTTGTCGAGCTCTGAGGGGAACTTGGACTGGAAGCGGCAGACTGTTCCCTCGCTGTAGTCCCTCTGTATGAACACCTTTGTGGCCAGAGACGCACTGTGCCTCAGCTCTTGCAGGTTATGAAACTGCACAGAGGGGGAGGGGAAGAAAAAAACAATTGTGTAACCTGTATATGATTAAAGGTTTAATAAATACCAAATATTTGAGTATGTGAAACTGTTCATTAGTTAGGCATAAGAGAGGATGACAATATTACAAACATGGGACAAGCATCAGTGGAATTTATTTTTTCCTCCAAAGCCCATAAAGCTACAGTTTATGTGCCTAATAAACAGCCCCATTTGAAGTGCTCTGACCCAGCACCCTAGGCCTGTGCCAACTTAAACTGGTGCCATGTTGACATCACAATCATAAGCAATGCACTTCATCTGCTGTTAGCCGGGATAATATTGGTGATGCATTAAAGGGATTCCCAAACTTTTCTATCAGGGAAAACATTTTAAAAAGAGGTTTAATAGAATAGAATAGAATAGAATAGAATAGAATAGAATAGATAAAATAAAGTGTCATAGTTCTAAAATGATTTCACTAGCAAGGACCACGCCACAACATACGTGGAATACGATAAGATATTTATTGACGGTGGATAGATATGATGGCTGGAGGGAGACGTTTCAGTGGGGGTACCGTCTCTAATCCAAAATGGTCAGCTGGTTCGGAAAACCCCGTCCTTAAAGATGATGTCTTTGAACAGAAGGATGGATGAGAGACACAGGGTGGGATGGACGTGGTCAAGAGAGCTGACGTAGACAGTTGTCAGGATGGCTGTACAGACAGAACTTCTGGGTAACTGAAGGCTTGGTTGAGATAAGCTGTGGTTGTGGTTGGCTGGAGAGGAGGTTGAGGCGTGGCCTGGCTCCTGAATCTCAGTTAATGAAATTAACTCCACATCTTGAAATCACCTCATGACCCCCAGCTCAGTGGGTCCTGACCCCCCCTTGGGACCACTCTATTAAACTGTCGAACTATGAACACTGTTGGATTTCTGAACTGTCAGGCCAATAGCACTAAATCAGAGCTGTGTTGAGTGGTAGGCTTAGGCTATGTTGCAAACAGTCACTCCCCTGGGAGGAACACAACAGAGAAGAGGTAGGCGAGAATAAACTGTCCCCTGTGGAATCAAATGTCCTCCAGAGGACCATCATTACAGAGGCAGAGAGGACAGTGCAAATATAGACAGCTTCTTTCAATTCTGTTCTATTAGAAAATGTTCTTTCAGCTCTGATCAAGGCTTTTGTTCAAAATCTTCATTATGGCCATGATGAAATTGAAAGATCACATGCGAAACTGTAATATGCAGCATTACATTCTTTCAGAGTCTATTTTTGGGCACAGTTGGCAGCTGATATTTCCTAAAGGCAGTTTGGAGGTCTGTGTTAGATTGGTCATTGTACCTTGAAGCAAAGCCCTTCTGAGAACTGCACATAGAGCTGGACTTCTGTCATGGCAAGTCTTTTATTATTATTTATGTCACTCACTAGTGTGCCCAGTCCCTTCAGTTCCTCACTAATAATGATCTGTGGAGAATTCAGAGACAGCAGCCATGACTGGGTTTGTTCAGTGTGAACATTAGCTCTAACTGTAATATGGCCCGTGTCCAGCCCAGCAGGATGTCCTGGCACACACACGTCTGTTGACCCTGTGTATTTTTACACTGCACAAAAGCCAAGAGTCAGAACTCCCTCAAACCAAAAACAATGTCTCTACATTTCATAAACTTGGACTCCCAGTAGACACAGCACACTCTCTGAAGCCTATTTTAGCACGGGTTCATGCCCTTGTGGTGGAGAGAGTCTGAGCTCAGATCCCAAATTTTAGAGCTGAACAAATCTAAGTAGCCCAAGTAGGACACTTGTCTTACTTAACTCCCTCAATATGATTTGCTCAGATAAAAAATACTGTATATGAGCAGTCTTTTGCAGCTGCCATAGACCTGTGCTTTCTTGTGGTCAAAGTCCTTAGCATTCAGATCTTCTCTGAGTGCTGATGTTTCCTCTGCGTGGGATCACTCATCTATTTCTGTCTCCATAACAGACCCCCACAGACGGCCATGTTCAAGTGTCATACTGATGATCACGTGGGAGACGATTAGGCAGCTCTGTACTGTGCTACTGTCTGCCCGACGCCCACTCCATGAATCTGTGCCAAGTGCAGTTTCTGAAAGCACTGAAACCAATAAAACTGAGGAGAAGGGCAGGCAGCCCCTGGAGTAATCAAGACAGACATGGAGTCCAGATCTACACAGCAATAGCAATGCAAAACACTTGTACTGCTGAGTTCTAACTTCATGCATGAATGTGTCAGGCCAGCTCCACAGTGTCAGTGCCTATAGACACAGAGGGGCATGTGAGCACTGGACACACTGCAGCCTGCTCCACTGCACTTCAGCATTCCTCATTATGTTAGCTCTCTCTTGTTCATTTTGGCTGTTAAGAGCACGAGTTACTATCAAAAGGTTATGCCAAGTGTCTGTGAGTCATTAAAGTTTAGACGAAGTGAACAAAACTGTTAACTGTGTAAGAGAGCAAAAGAGACTGTGGTAGAGCAGATGATGCAGCGTTCTGCTGATGACTTTGCTCAACACATTAGTCCTGGCTGGGACAGGGCTGGAGTCTGGGAGCAGAGTGGACATAACTAATCCACAATATTACACAATGTGCAGATCGCAGGCAGCTCATAGCTTCGTCACTGCTGACTCTGCATGTAGAATGTAGAATGAATTCTAATATAATATCAGGGGACAGGAGAAGAAGGTGAGAGGGATATGAGAGAGAGAGAAGAGAGAGAGACAGAGATACAGACATAGAGAGAGAGAAATATATGCCGTGGTTGCAACAGACTTGACATCAATACAAAAAAAAAAAACACATATGACATAGTTTCATAGTTTATTGTCATTTTAGTTTATTTCATTTAAAGTTGGATAATAAAATCTGTCAGGTGTGACAGCCATAACCACTATTTACTCCACAATCCATAATAATGAGATGTCTTGTTCTTGTCACTCTGTGTGCAATGAAGCTAGTGTGTATCTAACTTGTCTCCAACTCTTACCCCTCACTTATATTTCTACAGCCATTTGGGGAACTTAAAGCTACACTAAAACTGAGACAAAAGTTTTGTTAAAAGCAAATACCACATTTTTAATGAAAAAGAGAATAAGATGAAAGTGTATGCGAGTTGCTGAAAGAGACGGAAACATCAAAGTTAAATATAGCTTAATAGGTTTGAAATAATGCTGCACCTTTACCAGTGTGAATGGTGAAATAACTGCACCTCTCCCTGTACTGGCTATTAACATGGTAATGAAGGCACATCAGGTCTTCAGTACAGATATTATCAAGGGCACAAGGTAAGGAGGAGGCTGCGCTATCAGACATTATTGTAGCTAAAAATACACAAGGAGTCACCAGTGTATCCTAATGGGTCTGCCTGGTAGAGCCTCTTTCGCCCACTGCTGTCAAATATGAAACAGAGGAAGGCAAGCTGCAAAAATATGTGCGATGAAGCTCTTTTTTTATATCACAAAAACAAAGATCTGGAGCCTGTCATTTCAATCACAAGCTATGGCAGATACAGACTCTCTCCATGGTGCTGACTGCAACACCAATTTGACAACTCGCTCTTGCTGAGGTTGTCTTCATCGGAGCAAAACTACAGAACTTTTTTGTCAGAGGGAAAACACACGATGACTTCAAATTCAGATTAAAAACCCCACAACAATAAACTTGCGCATATGTTACAGTTGGTGATGATGCAAAGTTATGGCACACGCAAAACAAACCAAAAACAGCGCGATTTCAAAGAGGCTAATGCGCGTAATTAGCTAAGTGCCGTCGTAAATTGCGCTAATTAATTAAGGTGACATTGACTTCATCGACTAAATACACGAAGCACAACAACAAGCATCTCACAGCACTGCAACTGCAAGCCAAGAAACAAACAAGTCTCCTCATCGCGCGCATTTTAAGATACACAAACGAACATGATTTTACCTCTGTCGCCATGTTGCCAGTCACGCGTGTCCGTGCAGCTGTTGTCCCGGGCAGACCACCGCTGTCCACTGTTGCCCACTTGTCTCTGTACGTGTGCGGTGCGGTGTGGGACAGCGCTCTGGAGACTGGAGCCAAGCGGAAACGGTGAGGAGCGTGAGGAGCGAGCGAGTGCGCGTACGTGAGCAGCGCGCGCCATGCAGGGTTCTGGGGCGCACAGGGAAATGCTAATGCGCTGAATTTCTAATAACGCTAAAGACTGGAATAATTTGCGGCTCGGGTTACTGGTGGAAGGTGAAATTTGTATATTTTGTGTATAATTTAAAGGTCCACAATATAACTTCTTTCTTGTGCTCCATGGAGATGTTCTTGCTTTAGTGCAATGTTCCACAGTACAGCATTACACTTGTCTATGTTCATGGAGAGAAGAAGGTGACCAAGTTACAGGTCAGATCTGTGGAGAAGCAACCCAATCACAGTCAGAATTGGTGTTTTTCAATATGTTGTTTAGGCAATAAAAAACATCTGCAACTGAATAAATGCTAGACAGGTATGTTAAATGCCAAACTGTAGCATTCTGGGCAAAACATTTGGACACAAAAAAGTCCTGAAAATTTACACAATGCACCTTTAACAAAACTAAAAACTAAAATTTTCAGTCCATTATCTGAAGTGGTCACCCAACAGATTCCTCCCCTTTCATAATGCATGTGCCTCAGCTATCTACATTCCAGTTGCTCTAGATAGATGGTGATTCACTCCCCTATATATTTAATGGATGATTAAACTTTTATGAGAGTCCACTCAGGTAACCTTGCACTGTATGGGTCTCTACTGCCATTTTGCTACTTTTGATGATAGCAAATCTCTGCCATCAAGACCCTGTTTTAAAAATTTACAAGTGTGACTTAAACTTGGAGCGGGCAGATAAAAGCGTGCATATCCTCCTGAAAACCCCACAAATGGAGAGATGCGTTTGATGCCGTACAAAGGGATGAGAAATGGTGATTATTAGTCTATTTTTGGTTGACACTTTTATTCCACTCCACTGCTTTGACAGCATGAGTCCTGACATGCGCTCACATTATCCTCCTTCCTTGTCCATACTTTACACAGTCCCCTGAGGTAGCTTGGATCACACTCCTGGCAAACACACTTGGATCTACAGACGCATAAACAAACAAGTACTGTATGCCACAAAGACATGGCAGCTTTCGCCTCTTATGAATGGAAACAGAATCCAGAAATAGGATGGGGGAGCGCTAACAAAATGAGAATTATGCCGAACTAATGCTGTTTGCCAGGATCCCAGCGCTTTCTGCAGATTGCTAGAAAAGATGCGTATCTAATAACATGCTGGCACAGTTTCCCCTGAGCTCCATATTCACATTGGTGTGTTTTTGTGCATGCCAATGGGTTTGAAAGCCTCTAACTGGGTTCTAAGCATTACATTTTATATGCAGCTCCCAGTATACACTATATATCCTGCTTAAGTCTATATACATCAGTGTGGTCTGTACAGTTGTCTCAGATAAGTTGCTTTTTCCAGAATGTCTTTTATTGTGAGTCTCCATTGTTTGTCCTGAATGTTTTTAGGGTTTGGTTTAAAAATAGAAGCTTTTTTTTATGCTAGACTTACGTAGACTTAGACAAACTTTATTGATCCACACATGAATTGGACACAGCAGCTCACACATCACAATAAATATAATAACAACAAACAAAAATAAACATGGTAATAATACGTTCAACATAAGCAGCAAAAATAACAAGAGACTGATGTCAATAAGGCATAATTACTTTATATAAATGCCTTGATGATTAACGAATAATTATGAAATGAATTGTGAACTACATCAACAGCAAGAGTCGTTCTTTTAAAACAATAATACTCTACTGCGTTGGTAAAAATGATTCAACTATTACCAACACTTACCAAAAATATGTAAAAATGTCTCTTCTTTTTCAGTATTTCTTGTCAGTTTAGATCCTCCTGTCTCGGATAAGTTTCTTTTTTTAGAATATGTTTAATGAGTCTCCATTGTTTTTTCTGATTCTTTTTAGTGTGGTGATGATTAACACAATGAATGAATTAAATGAATTATGTCAACAGCAACAATTCTGTTTATTTTAAAACGATAATACTTTACTACATTGGTAAGAATGATTCAACAATTACCAACACTTACATACCTCTATATAAAAATGCCTCTTGTTTTTCAGTTCTTCTTGTCACTTTAGATTCTTCTGTCTCATGACCAAAAATGTATTTAAAAAAAGAAAATAGTCTGAGGTCAGGAGGCGCCAATATCCACACTTATAATGTTGTCCTTAAAAACCACACATTTAGCAGGAAATGGGAAGCCTAATGAAAAACTCACACAATTTAAGATGCAGTGTATAGTTTGCGGTCATGATGTCTCTATTAGTTAAATGTTTGGTTATAAGAAAGCCACACAAATATTTAGGTTCACGTCTGGCTGATAAGTAAATTATGGCTTGTGTCTTTGGCCGAACAGACTTGAATAAAATGGAGTGTTTTAGGGAAAGCCTCAAAGAGCAGTCTCAAGAAAATTATGAGGTTGTTAGAAATAATTTCCATCATGGCTGAACATGTGCATTCCTGTGCGTATTGACAGTGTAATGAGAGGAGAGTGTGAATGTGCACTTCAGCAGAAAATACTAACTTTGACTCATTGTACTGTGTGGGTAAGTCACACATCACACACTGTGCTTCTCATCCTTTACTGAAATGTATTAGCCAAAAAAATTACTATCCAAAAATGTTTTGAATAGAATAAACCCCACTTGCAATAGATAGATGTTTCAGGAATTACTTAAAAAGGACATAATGTAAAATAGACTTTTTAGAGTTTTTGTCTATATTATAATGGTGTTCCCTAAGCTTACTTCAAATTGTAATTCGACTGATTCATGCCAGTTTGAATAGTCCTGTATTATCCTGAAATTGAAGCTTGTGTGCTCTGAAAATTTCTATTCTCACCTACCCCAAATCTCCGCCCAGATTTCACTAAAACATGCCCAACCCAAAATATGCTACATAGGTCTCCATGAACAGTTGATAGTTAAGGTCAATTAAAAATACAATCAATTCAATCATTGTGTGCCCTTAGGCAAGACACCTCACCCACATTGCCTAGTACGGGAGTGGTGTGTGTGTGTGTTTGAGTGGTGGTGGTGGTCGGAGGGACCGATGGCGCCGATTGGCATGGCAGCATTGCTTCTGTCAGTGTGCCACAGGGCAGCTGTGGCTACAATAGTAGCTTACCATCACCAGGGTATAGAGTGAATGAATAATGCTGAATGAATAATGCTGAATAATGCTCTGTAAAGCGTCTTTGGGGACACAAAATGTCTGAGAAAAGTGCTATATAAATAAAGACTTACTTACTTACTTACTATGACGATGTGGGGCCTATCACTTCTACATTATTAAGCCATTTTACATTAACAATGCAATTCACAATAAACAAAATGTAAAATAAGGATCTATGTGAGTTATAGTTTAATACTAAATACCTAAAAAGCACAATATGTTTTGTTCAGCATAGCTGTTCATTGTATAACTGAGCCAGTTTCAGAAGCACTTGGATTAAAATCATTAGCGTTAGTTGTAGTCATATGGACATTACAGCCTTCAGTGCTGAATACTGTTTACCTCTGTTCAATCTCAACGCAGCTGGAGTTTTCTGCTCATGATCATTCAGAACAAAATAGTGTCAGAATATTGAGCCTGACTTTGGTCCAAAACACACAGGGCCAAAGTGAAGTGGAAACAAATCAAGGGCCCACCCAGCCTGAACAATGTAGCACAGTCCACTCCATTATATTTAAAAATTATGAATGTTTGTTTTGTTTTCTGAAATATGACTTTTTATGCTATTTCTGGTACATTTATAATTGTAAACGTACTTATGTGTCTTTATTTAACATTGAGTAGAGACATTGTGTGTCTGCGTGCAACTTGCCCAGGAATGTTGACTTGTCCCTTTCCTATGTAAACTCGAGCCAAGATTATTTTAGAGTAGGCTGTACATCCACATAGACTTATAGTTTCCATATGCACTTGAACTAGTCTTTGTCTAAAATGTATTAATGGACAGTTGTTGAGCTGTTGATAAGTACATCTCAAATCCCTGTCTCTTCTTCTACACACAAATAGGTGAAATGTTGAACTTGAGTCTTCTAGGCACGGTGCCACAGCAAACAGACTGTGTGCTATTGACTTCACCACAAGTGGAGGATCCCTGTCAAACACAAACACAAAAGCACTGTCAGAAGAGCACACTCAACAAGATCGTGTTTCCGTCCAACATGACAGGAAATGAGATGGTCAAGCAGAAATATATTCGCTTGGAAAATACAAAAGCGTATAAACATCTCAAAGGTATTGGACATTCTGGAGAGCAAAGCACAACTACATAAACAGTGAGCTTGTTCTATTTAGTCTGCTTATAAATGTCCCACAAATCAGTCGGCCCTAAAACGAGTTATTGAATGTCCAAGTATGGAAGACAATGTCCTCACTCCAGGTCAGGCAAAACTGCGCTGTGATAAGGCTCATGCGGTGATGTTTCTGTGAATAAAACTGGTTTCAGGTTGTAGATGATGTTTATTTACAAGAAACCACTGTTAATTAGAACTGCAAGTTATGGCTCCATAGTAGGTCTAATATTACACAGAAACAACATTCAAAAGTGCTTTGCTGATAGTAGTTGTCATGATACTAAACTCAAATTCGCTACAAAAACAATAAGAAAAACAGTATTTTCTTAAACAACAGAATGACATTTTCACACAAAATATAATTTGTTTCTTTAATATTATCATGCGATCTCATACTAGTTTTGATATAGAGACCATTCTAAAGTTATTATGAAATGTCAAAATTTGTCATTTATGTATCATTATGTATTAATACCTGTTCAGTTGAATGCAGTATAGAGTTTAGTATTGAGTAGTATATGTGTCTCTGACCGCCCTACCCAGGAAAT